TATATATATATATATATATATATATTACACTAATAAATATTATATTCACCATAAAAGTAGATATTGATAAATAACAATAAATTGTAAAATTTGTCAAGTAAAATTTCATGACAAATTTGACAATAACATCTCCAATATATTAATAAACTGAATCTTCATCATTAATTTTAACTTATATTAATTTTTATATGAAATAAATAATATTCATTTGATGGTACATGATATAATAAACCTCAACACAACATAATCACTTAAAATAAAATACAAGGTTTTGAAATGTAATGTAATTTTACATGAATTTAAATAAGTTTTTTTTTCGATCATATATTCTAATTTATGATAAAATTATTTATTTTTATACTAATTACTTTAAAATTTTTATTTATTATTGAAAATAACTCTTAATCAATGATATAAATTTTTTTACACTAACAGTATATAAAATGTTAAGCTCGTTTTACAAATTATTAGATGTCTCCCATCTCCCAATTATCAAAATTAAGAAATTTTACAAGGTTTTTAAATGCAATGCAATTTTACAAAAATTTAAAAATTATATTTATTATTTAAAATAATTATAAATAATTAGTAGTCAAGGTCATGGGTCAACATTATAGATCAATCTTAATTATTTTTTAAGTTTTTGATTCGTTGAGTTGATATAATAAGCTATGTTAGTTAATTTTGGTAATTTGTATAAGTTATGTTAGTTAATGTGTATAAATTTTTTGTGAGATTATTTAATACATGGTATGATTTTACTGAAATTTATAGGTATGAAATATATATAACATGATTATTTTCTTAAAAATTTAATAAAAATTAGATCATATAATTCAATTAGTGACATATCGATTCACTGATCTAGTACCCTGACTGGTTTAATGATTGGTCCGATTTTTAAAACATTGATTAACACATTCCAACTTTTAAATTGTATTGGTGTAAAAAAAAACTTTTAGATTGTATTTAATATATTTCAAAAAGTAATCTCTAAAACATATCTATCACACTTTAGACCATCTATTAGAAAAAAAAAATATTTCAGAAATTAATTTCTTAAAAGGTATTTTTAAGGAAAAAAATAAAATACAAAAACAAAGTGTGAAGATAAAAAGAATAATAAGTGTAAATAAAATTCCCTAGTAGCAATACACCAACAAATAAAATTCCAAAGAGACCATGTACCCTTACTCCAAACAATAAAAGCAACATTACATCAAAACGACACAACAAAAGTCAAAAGACACAGCAGAACACACAAATTAGTAATCTTTGTAATGATCTGATCATAACTAAATAATTGAAATAACATACTGTAAAGGATTTAGTTATCAGCAATTATATTCTGTTACAAATTCTGTTTGTTAACACATATCTTGTACTTGTACATAAGTAACTCCCATCAGAGAATCTGTTGATACAAATTCTCTTTACTATCTTCTTCTGTTCTTGAATTCTCTCTAACACCTTTTTCTTCTCCTCAATCTTCTGCAATGAATCCAGTCTCGATGACACTGGATGATGCCAATTTCTCAACTTGGAAGAAGGAAGCCTTAGAAGCAATCAAGGCAAACAAACTTGACAAGATCATCATCACAGAAGTGACTGATGGAGGAAGGCCACGCAAGTTTAAAACACCTGAAGATGAAGTTCTTGGAAAGATCAGTGAAGAATATGAAAATTGGGAGCGGCAGGATCAGGTTGTTTATAAGTGGCTTCTTGCATCCATCTCTACTAAACTTCGTGTCCGAATGGTAGGATGCGACCATGCTTTCCAAATTTGGAAGAAAATAGAGGCTTTTATCGAAAAAGTAAGTCAGTTGTTAGTTGAAGAATTTCAAGAAAATTGGTAAACGAATAAGTCAGTTGTTAGTTGAAGAATTTCAAGAAAATTGGTAAACGAATAAGTCAGTTGTTAGTTGAAGAATTTCAAGAAAATTGGTAAACGAATAAGTCAGTTGTTAGTTGAAGAATTTCAAGAAAATTGGTAAATGAATACTTTCTTTCAATCAAAAGGATTGTGGATGCCTTACTTTAGATAGTAAGATGGATGATTAAGTGGTATGCTGAGCTAAATTCTAAAAGAATATCAAAGAAAACATGATTTTGACCTGCTTGGGTATGCTTTGCGACACGACCAATCACCAACACTATTTGCAAGCTGTACCATTTTATTTTATGGTCATATTGTGGTGTAGATATGTGACACATTACTTGAATTGTATTTAAATTTTTTTAAACTGAAAATTGTAGAAGACATTTGTATCCTGATTGCTCTGCCTTCATTATGGTGCTGCTAGTTTTATCTGTTTAGAGCCACAAAATTGATCAAAAGGACACATTAGACTTAAGTTACCTTTATTGATAACTAGCCCCATAGGATATGCTTATACTTTTAATCATAGCAATGAAAATTTGTTGACTTATGCGGGGTTTAATTTTTCTGAAATGTAAGCAAATAAATTCATCTCATGATAAACTTATCTCTTGTTTTGGAACATGATCAAGCCAACTTGGCTTGCCTAAAAGTCGAATCATAGCAATTTTTCACTTGTGCTTGTCTTTAATTATTTTTTTTTTTTGTTTCTTTTATGAAAACAATGATATATTTATGGTAAAAACTTTTATTGTTTCTTCCTTAAAGTTTGCATTTCATATGATGTTTCCTTCTTTTGTTTCTTGGCAGAAAGAATGTCAAGAGATTTGTAAAACCATATTAACTCTAAAGAGTAAATCCATGTTTACACAGAAGCTCAAGAAACTTGCTGAGGAGTTTCTGGAGCTTAGCAATGAAATGCTGCCATAGAGGTCCGTCATTTAAACTATATCTCCTGTTTATTCAATTATTTATCGTTCATTCCATTGAATTAATTACATAGGATTTTACTAAAAGATAAGGTTCTTTGTCCTGGGAACAAAAAAAGAAACTCCTCTTTTATGTGCAACAATAATGAGAGTACGCATGAAAACGTCATAAATCAATGACACATCAGATAAAATTTATTTAATGTGATTCGTCCTCTTATGTCTATGTCTACAAGGATCTTCATTATATCAAAATGTATTACATATGGATCTGAAAATCTTCACAAGTTTTATGGATGAGTTTGGAAATCCCCTTTTCACAAATTTTATAAGTGAAACTTAAAAACTCCTTCCTCACAAGTTTTCTAGCAAAACTTGACAAACCTTACTTAATAATTTTTTTTTGGAAAAATTTGGTAAGTCTTCATTCACAAGTTTTTTGGACGCAACTTAGAAACCCTCAACACAAGTTTTATAGCGAAGCTTGGTAAACCCTCTTCCATACGACCCTCTTTCTCATTTAAGACTTTGACCTCCTCCATAGGTCGGTGATTCTTCTTATCTCATGATCTATTTATTGACCTAAGATCGTAGTCTTAAAAAAATCAAATCTCTAAAATAAATACAAAATATTTCAATTCTAAATAATATCCTAAAAGAAGAATCATATCTTTTAAATTCTAAATAGTATCGTAGATATTTTGAATTTGAAAATTTGAATTGTTTTTCAACAATTTCTCCTTCAAATAAAATTTTCAAACTTTATCTTATTGTTATCTTGGATGCTTATCACAATTATCTTCAATCATACTTTTGTTCTATAGTATTTCTTGTCTCCATAGCATAAAGTATTGGAATTGATTGTATGTCAATCTTCAATACTCAAGTGATAGGTCACTAGGTTGCACGAATCAGACTCTAATAGGAACAAAAAAACTTCTCTTTTATGCACAACAATGATGAGAGTACACACAAAACCTCATAAAATTTAAAGAAAAGTCACACAATTTATTTAATATGGTTTGACCCCTCATGTCTACTATATCCACAAGCATGTTCGTTATCTCAAAATGTATTACATATGTATCTAAAAATCTTCCTTTCAAGTTTTGTGGGTGAAACTTGAAAATTCTTCCTTACTAGTTTATGGTTGAAATTTGAAACATGATACACCCTCACAAGTATTTTGGCAAAACTTGGTAAATCCTCATTTACATGTTTTTTGGATGCAACTTGAAAATCCTTTAACACAAATTTTATGGCAAAACTTGGTAAACACTCCTTTCATATGACTTCGATCTCATTTAAGGCGGTAACCCCTTTATAGGTGTGACACCCTCTACCTCTCATGCATATATTTAATATCATAAAATAATAATTTAAAAAATACTTTATCTAGTAATTGAAAACTAAGAATAAAAGATATCACATTCAAAACACTTCTAAAATAAACAAGATTAAAACTAAAACAATTACGAGGAATATCAAACGTTGCATAAACATTTTCTAAGAAAAGGACTAAAATCCCTAATGCAATAAACCAAAAAATAATCTTTATACTAAGACCCTGATGTCACATCTTACCAGAGCAATTTCATCACCAATTCAATTCTCTCCAAAGATAAAGTCACTTGCATAAACATACCAAAAATAAGACACAAAGGACAAAGGGGAGTAAGAATATATCTCACTCCAACTATTAGTGTAGGAAATGACTAGATAGCCACAGACATACAAAATACATAGCATGTTATACATATAGTTAACAACAATATTATATCCATTACAATGTAGCAGTAAAGTAATGAAAATTCATTCATATCTTATCACACCACATGTCATCACATATCAATAATGTAGTTCAATATACAAAGGTATGCTATGCTCATGCAAGGATAAGACTCCTAATTACGTGCATGTGATGCTAGTAAAACACTTTATCACCGCCTGAAGGCTAAGTAGTCTAGGAGTATATGCTGGCTCAAGCCATTACAACACTCTACACTAGAAAAAAAATACACTAGTGGCACCAAGGGGACCTTCCTTAGCAACGTATTCTATATTGTATCCATCACATGAAAAACACATTTATGCAAATGATGAATGTCACACATAGACTCTAATGCACAACCAAAAAATCTTATTCACATCACACATATTTCACATATCATCACTAAATCAGACTTAAACTTGATCACTAATTTCACATGTCTTAAAGGTTTCACAATGTAAGCATTCAATGTCTCTCATATATTCTCAATTCTCATTCTAAAGCACATGTTATTCATTTACCTCACAGTTCGTAGGTAACTGACTCTCACATTCAACTTAAGTCAAAAATACAATTTTATAGATCAATAACATCATTATATCACAAAAGCACGTTCAGAAAACTAAGGAGACATTATATACATATTACATACACATTACAATCACAAACAATAAATGAGTATAATCCTTCACACATACAAATATACAAACAACCGGGTTGGGATCAATCCTACTATCTAACAAACAACCTACACCTTGGAGCAAAATTCTCACTTCCCCTTTACCTCAATAGATGCCAAACTCTATATGTAGATCTCCGAGATCATCTTTGGTTCTCCCTCCCCATTGAGAAGCAAGAAGATGAAAAACCTTAAAAGAATAACTTTCTCTGCAAAGCATTTTTCTCCAACTTTACACATTCTTTTGACTATCCAACCGTTGAAAACATAGAATAATGTTCTAGGAACCAGCTGTCCAAAAATCAGCTTGATCCAACGGCAAACGAAACTCTTGTTCCAATTCTAAAATTGATGACTGGTGGGATATGCGAATTAAACAATCAAATTTCTATATTTTTTTCTCTTTTGTGTTTTGTTGTTATTCTCTTAATGACAAATCACTTCCTTCTCTTTAAAGCACAAAGATGCATGTTAATTATGAGAGACAACCCTATACTACTAATCTATAAATAGGAAACACGAAATCCTAACCCTCGTATAACCCATGGTAAAAGTTGTTAATTCACCTTTAGTTACTCCCCTCTTGAAATTCAAATAATTATCTATTATAGTTAATTAGAAAACATTCTTTTTATCACTAATTCTTGTTATCAAAAGAATCCTAATTAATTAATTCAAAATTCTATATATAAATATATAACATAAGATAATATCTTTTCAAATAAATACTTTTCAAATCTTTGTTTTCCTTCAAATACATAAGATAATATCTATTCAAATAATATAATTTCAAAATCTTTATTTTGATTATCTTAAAGCATTCTTATCTATAAAACAACGTGCTTTGCTCTGTAAGCAAACCTTATAAAAAAGACTACATCAAGTTAATGAAATTGAGTTTTTTTTTAATTCTTTTGTTTTCTAGTTTCCTAATAGAAATAATAAATCCCTAAAATAAGTACAAATATATTTCAATTCTAAATAATATTTTAAAAAAAGGATAATATCTTTTAAAATTTTATCAGTATCTTGGATTTAAATTGTTTTCCCAACACTTAGCGTAGTTGGAATATCCAAAAACCAAGGAGATATCCATCCATTGGCTAAGAGGGAACCATAACACACATCCTGACTCAATTTTTGGCAAAGAATCCGAGTATTTTGACTTTATGGCTCACGTCAATTTCCAATATTATCTCTCTAAGTTTGAGTTCAAACATTAGTCAACATTAGTGTGCTCCCCTTCTAGCGGAATCCTATTTTACTATTCCCAAGATAAAAACCAAGAATTAAGTCTTGACCAGTGCTTCACAATATGGTTTCTGGACAAACCTAAGCACCAATCAGGGTCTCTTAGTGCTCAATCTAGCTAAACCGTTAGCTTTAATAACAATTGCAAACCCAAAAGCCAAAAAATGTCCATTAATGGGCTAAAGAGACAAACCATCATAGCGGGTTTTACACTATATCCTTACTCAGCCTTGTATAATGAGTCTATGTGTTTTTATCTTACACACATGGTCCTCACCTAATCAATTTCTCATCAATGTAGTATATCTTATTTTTATACAAGTTCGCAATCTGCATAAGAAGGCTATTATATTACCACTTCATGCATTCAATTATTTATTCACCAGCCTTTAACGATTACTTGAAAGGAAGTTGAAGAAATGTTATTATTATTATTATTATTATTATTATTATTATTATTTCTTACTTTTCCAATATTACTACTAAATACTAATTTGAGTGTGTGATTTGATTGGTTGACAGGCAAAACTGGTTGGGATGAGAAGCATGGAGCAGAATCAATAGCAAATCTATTGTCTGAGAAGCTAGACTGACTCTGTTTCTGGCTTAGGAAGGAAGCATCTTACAATTGATCAGAATATATTGTTTCATTTTTTTAGGACTACTAATAAATGATATGTGAATGAAATTTTTAGTGGAGAGTGAAATAATATCTACTTTTCTTGAATTCACCACTTCTAAGTGTGTTTGAAAATGAATTGATACCAAGAGCTCAACAATGTGGAAGAAAGAACTCTGTGCTTCAATCAGACGAAGAAAGAACTGTGTGCTTCAATCAGACGTGAAAAATCACATCCAATGTGCTTCTAAACATAATAATGAGTATAAAATTTGATGCTCTTCGACATTAAAAGGAAAAAATAAGTTCATTTTTGTCCAAACTGAAAATTTCATACTTGTTCAAATATTTGGGTTAGATAATAAAAAGTGTAACCATTATTAAATCGGATACCATATCATATATTTTCAAACTTGATGAACTCAATTCAATTTAAGTTATCTTAATTTTAGTATTCTATTATTTTAGGCTTTTTCTAAAGTATTTTTTTTATTTGTCTAAGGGCATACTATTAATCTTTTTATAATTTGAAGGTCGAACTCGAACAAGAGCTCCAAATAGATATTTCAATGGGAGAGGGTACCTGCAAAGGCACTCCGATGCTCAAGTCAAGACAAGCTTAATTATCGATAGTAATAAATGAGCAGTGACTTTACCTCGATATGTAAACTATTCACACTGACATTGATGGACCCAATTCTTGATGGACTTTATGCTAGGGTTACCAAATTAGGTAATACGTCATTAATTGACTTTATATCCATGACTAGCCCTTAATTATTGATTAAGAATAATTAATGGTCATCAGAGGGGTCTTATTCATTTGACTGAGAATGCATGGTGGTCTTCGGCTACCAGAGACGCTGGTTGATCCTCAACCGCCGAAGACACCAAATCTATGTGGATTTCTCGAGACCCGAGATACTTGGGGGTATAGTCGAATGGCCTATCCATTGCCTGGCCAATTAGCCCAATAATTTTTTTTTCCTCTTTACACAACGAATGGAGACAGATTAAATATATAAGACTATACAAGCAAAAAATCATACAAAACATATAGATCATACATTAGATTCATAAACAACACTTAGTTAATATTTTAAAGTTGAAATGCATCAATATACTTATTGATCGGTATATCACAACACACCAAACACATCTTCAATGTTTGGTTCAAAGGCAATTGGGTTTAAGGGAGTGAGATAGGATTTGAGGGAGAGAGCAATTGGATTTGAGTGAGAGATAAAGGGTTTGAGAGGGAGTGATAGTGTTTGAGAGACAAAGAGATAACGTTCTAGATTCATAAAACAAATGGGTTTGAGAGACAAAGAAGTTGAGAGAGTGAGAACAATTGAGTTTGAGAGAGAAGTCAATTTGAAAGATAAAGAAATTGGGTTTGAGAGAGTTATTGTTTGTAAATGGAAGAATTAGATTTTACTAAATTGACTCATAAAATTAAAACTAAAATCAATAAATTAGTTAAATATCAACTTGTCCAATATACATTAAAATATTTATTGAATAAATAAATAAATAAAAATTATGTATCAATTTATAGTTGGTTAGGTTGACTCTAATATAATAAAATATATAAAAAAGTATTGACTAATCTAATATATTATAAAATATTTGTTAAAAAAAATAATAAGAAGAAACAAAAAGAAATATTTATATGTTTGTTTAGAGTTACTTGAGTCGATTCTAAATATGTTAACAAGTTGACTAAGTCTAACTTCTTGCTACTATATTTTTTTATCATTCTTGTAGGGAATATTTTCATGCTAGTATAATCAATTAAACCAAGTTATACTTGGTTAAGACCATCAGCCACATCATTCTAATTTTGTTTTAAAGTAAATTACGATTGATTATTCCTAATTGTAATTGATTAAAACAACACGGATTTTTTTTCTCTATAAAATCTAACAATTGATTAAAACAAAACGGTAATCGGGAATAAAACCTTTTTTAAGAATTAGTTAAAGAGCTATCAACTAAATTTAATCAATTAAAGACAAGTTTAAACGAAAAAATTCTTTGAGATAGTTTTATTTTTATTTGATGAAACTTTGAAATTTGATATTCATGTAAAACAAACACTTTAAAACAACATCTTAATCGATAACATAGAACATCATATTATTTTTAAAAACAGAACAAGTCTTGTATAATTGATTAAACAATTATATAATCGATTAACTCATAAACAATCATAAATTTCATAAAACATATTTTACCTACGTAGAATCATATAATCGACTACTCTGTTTTATTTCCGATTTCTAACAAAGTAAAACCTTAATTACTTCTTACATACATTTTTAGCACTTATAAAAACATCTCATAACTTATTATCACTTAGAAGTCTTAAGGTGGATAAAATTTAATCTTTTAAGCACATATGATAGCCAAAGTACTAATGCGGATAGTTTTTAAGCACAGAGGGAAAAAAGTATTACTTCTATATTAAACCTTTTAACTTACTTAAACTGATGAGGGTCCTGCTCCCTCCCACAATAATTTGTCTACTTTTGAATAAAGACGCTAGTGGTCTCGTTTCTTTTCTTTAATAAAGCCAAGATTCAAGCAAGCTGGTGCGCACTTGGTTTCATATAAGTTGACACAGGTGGTCACACCAAATGCAATCAATGCTCTCATACCATTGACTAGGTTTTCTTTCGTTGACTTGAGAGTTAAGTTGATGTCTTACTCTTCATCGTCCTCGAAATTAAAACCCCAATGGAGATACGATGTGTTCATCAATTTCAGGGGGGAAGATACTCGTAAGAATTTTGTTTCTCATCTCTATTCTGCCCTTGCAAACGCAGGAGTAAACACTTTCCTGGACGATGAGAAGCTTCCCAAGGGACAAGAGCTGAAATCAGAACTGTTCGACGCAATAGAAGGGTCTCAAATATCAATCGTTGTTTTCTCCCAAAAGTATATTCAATCTAGCTGGTGTCTTGATGAACTGCACAAGATCATGGAATGTCATGCATTCAGAGGCCAAGTGGTTTTGCCCGTATTTTACGATGTTGTCCCTTCATTTTTACGTAAAGTGCAAGACGTTTCTTTTGGAGTCTTTTGTGCAAATAGTGACCTCCACCGGATAGAACCATGGAAGAAAGCACTAGCCCGAGCGGCAACTTTGGTTGGTTGGGATGTGAGAAATTACGGGTATGTGTATGTATTATGTTTTTTGTTCTTTTTGTTCAATTATGGAGTGCCAGTGTAGATGGACCGACCAGCAATAATTTGAATACAAGTGTGCGGCTTTGGATTATTTCTTTACAATTCACACTTAACAGAACGGAAAAAAGAAAGCAGCATTCCTCTTGCTTTTGATTCAACTGATATTTCTTTACAATCCACACTTAACAGAACGGAAAAAAGAAATTGTCAAACGAGTTCGAGATCACAATGTCTTGTTCCTAAGCGTTTTATGCATCAGAAAGTGCAAACTGCCGTTTCAAGCTTTGAAACAGAAAACTAAACATACTGTGTTCAAACCTTGCGAAGTGCCGTATTGTCAAAAATTCTAGACATTTTAGACTCAAACCCATCTTATAGTCTTCAGTTTTCTGTGTTGTTTCTAATACAAGAAATAAAGCAAACAAGAACGGACTTTATGAAACAAGAATACCTAACAAGAACTTAAAATGTAAATGCAAAAAAACGCAACAATCAAAAAAGATTGAGAGAAGAAAATAGAATTGACTTACGTGGTTCGGTTAATTTGGCCTATATGGAAGAGAGCATATTCCGTTATTTGAAAACAAGTTCATGATTTTACAACAAAACAACCCCTTATCTGTCCAATAGTTTTTTTTTTTCCTCTTTACACAACAAATGGAGACAGATTAAATATATAAGACTATACAAGCAAAAAATCATACAAAACATATAGATCATACATTAGATTCATAAACAACACTTAGTTATGATAAATTTGAGACTTCTATATTCTCAAACACTTTTATATCCAAATCATTACTCTTTTTATTTTGCAATCTATGACTTTTCTGATGTACTTTGTCAAAGTTTTAGTAAAAGTGTTTCTGCTATGAACACTGGGGCGGGAAGGCATAACACTGTCTAAGGCTTTATGCAACTGAGATTTTGTGCTGGATTTTAAGCTTATAATCTTTGATAAATTGTGCTCATTTTCTTTTCTGGTTATTTTTTGTTGCAGAAATGAAAACGATGTCGTGAAGGAAATTATTTCTGCAGTTTTGAAAAGAATAGACAGAACATATTTGTCTATCACTGACTTCCCAGTCGGATTAGAATCTCGTGTGCAACGTATTGTTGGCTTTGTAAGAAACCAAACAAAAGGAACATGTATGTTAGGGATTTGGGGAATGGGAGGGATTGGTAAAACAACCATAGCCAAAGCCATTTACAATGAAATTCGTCAGGAGTTCGAATATCAAAGTTTCCTTGCAAATATTAGAGAAGTTTGGGGAAGAGATCGGGGCCAGATTGAATTACAAAAGCAACTTCTTTCAGATGTCCTTAAAACAGAGAAGCTGAAGGTGCATAGCATTGACTGGGGAAAAGGTATGATCAAGGAAAGGCTTTGCACAAAAAGAGTACTTGTTGTACTTGATGACGTGAATAAGTTTGAACAGTTAAATGCACTATGTGGAAATCGTGATTGGATTGGTCGAGGAAGTGTGATAATCATTACAACCAGAGACAAACGTCTACTCCTTGAAGTTGACCATGTACAACAAGTGGATGAAATGAATGAGAGTGAGTCCCTTGAGCTTTTCAGTTGGCATGCTTTTAGGGAAGCAAAACCAACAAAAGGCTTCCTAGAACTCTCAAAACAAGTAGTCAAATACTGTGGAGGATTACCACTGGCTCTTGAAGTTCTTGGATCTTACTTGTACAAGAGAAGAAAAGAAGAGTGGCAAAGTGTATTATCAAAACTAAAAGAAATACCCAATGGCGAAATACAAGAGAAATTGAAAATAAGCTATGACGGTTTAACGGATGATACGGAGAAGGATATATTTCTTGACATATGCTGCTTCTTTATTGGCAAGGACAGAGCCTATGTCACAGAGATACTAAATGGCTGTGGACTTCATGCTGATATTGGAATAACAGTCCTGGTAGAAAGGAGCCTAATCACGGTTGAAAAGAATAATAAACTCGAAATTCATGATTTGCTACGTGACATGGGGAGAGAAATTGTTCGTCAAAGTTCACCAAAACCACAGAAGCGCAGTCGATTGTGGGTTCATGATGATGTTCTTGAGACATTGACAGAAGATACTGTAAGAACTGTCTCTTCTTACTATTTTCAAACATTCAATCACCCACAGTGATCTTATAATAATGACCATAAAAAAACTTGTTATTTTATTTTCTAAATCGTATGGTTTTTTCTAAGTTTTGGTTAAAACCATGGGATATATAATCCTGACTGCTGAAAGTATTTCTCTCGTTATATACCCTATCTAGATGCCTAGATGTATGCTTAGGCTGCACCATTTTTGTACTACTGTTTTGCTTTGTCTTGTGAAAACAGCAAATGTTTCTCTTTATTTCCAAAATTTTGTATGCACTTATTTTTCCACAGGGAACAGAAGCCATTGAGGGATTGGCTTTGAAGTTGCAAAGAACTACCAGAGTTCGCTTCAGTACTGAAACATTTGAGAAAATGAAGAGACTGAGACTTTTGCAACTTGATCATGTACAACTTGCTGGAGATTATCGGCATCTTCCCAAACATCTGAGATGGGTCTATTGGCAAGGATTTTCATTAACATACATACCTGACAACTTTGATCAGGGAGATGTAGTTGCTATTGACTTAAAACACAGTTATCTTAAACTAGTATGGAAGGAGCCCCAGGTATATTTACATGAAAATTTCTACGATGGCAATATTAATTTCTTCCACCATCTACTTCACTAATTTATTTATTTTTTTTTTAAAAAAAAAAAAAAAACTCTTGCAGTTGCTGGAAAGGCTAAAATTCCTCAATCTTAGTCATTCCAAGTACTTATCAAAGACCCCTGATTTTTCAAAATTACCAAATCTTGAGAGCCTCATTCTCAAAGATTGTCCAAGCTTGTATGAGGTACACAATTCCATTGGAGATCTAGGTAATCTTCTTCTGTTAAATTTGAAGGATTGTACTTGCCTTCGGAATCTCCCAATGATATTTTATAAGTTGAAGTCTTTAAAAACACTCATCCTTTCTGGGTGTTTGAAGATTGACAAGTTAGAAGAAGACATAGTGCAGATGGAGTCCTTAACAACTCTAATCGCAGACAATACTGGTCTAAAACAAGTGCCCTTTTCTATAGTAAGATCCAAAAGGATTGGATATATATCCCTTTGTGGATATGAAGGATTGGCACGTGATGTATTTCCTTCTCTCGTATGGTCTTGGATGTCACCAACAAGAGGTCTTGTATCCTGTATTCAATCATTTGGGAGCACGTTGACATCTGTAGTCTCTGTGGATATACAGGATAAAAATTTGGGTAACCTATTATCAAAGCTTAGTGAATTTTCAAAACTTAAAAGTATTAGCGTACAATGTGACTCAGATTTTCAACTAACTCAAGAATTAAGAATAATTTTGGACAACTTGTGCAATGTAAATTTTTCTGACAATGAAACAACGCCCGCATCACAAGTTTCAGAAAATTCTACTGTATCTCATTTGATTGGAATTGGAAGTTACCACCAACACATCAATATGCTTAGCAAGACTATATCAGAGGTTCTTTTTCTCTCTCTCTCTCTCTCTCTTTCGCTTTATGTGTGTTTGTGACTGAATTACATTTATTCATTTTTAGAGAGCCTGGAATAATCTTTACTTGGCACTAAAACATTCTAACTGACTTCGTAAGACTAGGATAGCAACAACAAATAAAATAACATAATCAAAATGTGGTTTCAGTCCTAAAGCATTTTCTTAACACTCCTCCCTGCTTTAGGAGCTGCAAATGTCAATTTTTTCCCTTAAAAGCTCGAACCTACTGACTGAAAGTGGCTTTGTAAATAAATCTGCCAACTGATTTTCAGACTTGCAGTAAATCAAAGTCACACATTCCTTTTTCCGCACTTCTCTTAGGAAGAACAACTTGATGTTGAAGTGCTTAGTTTTCCCATGAAACACAGAATTATGGGAAATAGCAATAGCAGCTTGGTTGTCAACAAATATCTTGGGGCTTTCTTTCTGCTCCAGATTCAGATCCAGTACAATCTTCCTCAACCACAAAGCTTGATTGTAACAACTGTTGCCTCAATGAATTTTGCTTCAGCAGTGGATTGAGCCACTATTTCTTGCTTCTTCGAGCTCCATGAGAAAATACTAGATCCAAAAGTAAAAAAGTAGCTTGAAGTACTTCTCATATCATCAATGGAACCACCCTAGTCATTATCAGAGAAACCAGTCAACTTAAATTCTTTGATCCATGAGAACTTAACACCAAAGTCACTTGTTCCTTTGACATATCGAATTATTCTCTTGGCAGCTCTAAGATGTAATTCACTTGCACAGTGCATAAACTTGGACAAAATGCTTACAACATTTAAAATATCGGGAAGTGTTGCAGTAAGATACATAAGCAACCAATCAAACTTCTGAAGTATCTCTCATCAACTTTATCAACTCCATCTTCTTTACATAGCTTCTCCTTTTGATTCATAGGAGTGTTTGCTTCTTTGCATTCTTCAAACTTAAACTTCTTCAAAATCTCCTTAGCATACTTCTTCTGACAAATGAAGACTTCATACTTTAATTTCCATTCCAAGAAAAAAAGTCATTAACCCAAGATCTATCATCTCAAAGACCTTCATCATTTCTTGTTTGAATTCTTCAACCATTCCTACATTATTTCCTGTCACCAAAAGATGGTCAACACAAAGTGAAACTATTAGAACATCATTGCTCTACTGTTTAACATAAAGAGTGGCTTCAGACAAGCTTTTTTCAAAACCGATGCTTAGTAAATGGTCATTTATCCTGGTGTACCAAGCTCGTGGAGCTTGTTTCAACCCATAAAGAGCCTTCATGAGAAGATACACAGTGTCTTTTTCTTCATTCTTCAGAAAATCTTCAGGTTGTTCAACATAAATTTCTTCATGCAAGACATCATTTAAAAATGCTGATTTTACATCAACTTGATACACTTTCCAATTTATTTGAGCAGCTACAGCAAGCAAAATTCGTATGGTGTCCAAACGAGCAACTAGTGCAAAGGTGTCCAAGTAATCCATGCCAAAGATTTGAGCATAGCCTTTCACAACAAGTCTTGCCTTGTATTTTTTGATAGCACCATCAACATTTAGCTTCGTGTACACCCATTTGACTCCAATTAACTTCCTATCCTAGGGTCGATCAACGAATTCCCATGTTCTATTTTTTCTCAATCATAGACAATTCTTCCTTCATTGTAGCCATCCAATTTTGATCTTTCTCTGTTGTTCCAAAATCAGTAGGTTCACAAACAACAAAGTTGCACCTCTCATAAATATGAGAGTAATCTAGTACCTCTTGTTGGAGTATCATCTACCAATTCATTTTGCCAATCCTCTTCTTCAGTTCTTGAAGCAGGAAACTTAAACTGCAGATCTGTCACACTTTGAATCTTCTTCTTTGCCTCATCCCATTTCCATTCTTCATCTTCTACGAAGTGAACATCTCTACTAACAACAATGCTTCCAATTTGTGGTTGAAAAATTTTATAGGCTTTGCTGACAGTGCTATAACCTATAAAAATGCCTAGTGATGCTTCTTGTCACACTTGCTTTATGGAATATGAGTAAAACACAAACATCCAAATATTTTTGAGAAAATTAGTGATGGTTTATGACCATACCAAGCCTCATATGGTGTTTGATCCTTAACTGCTGTTGTGAGGAGTCTATTTTGCAAGAAAACGACCGTATGTGCTGCTTCTGACCAAAATTTCTTTGGTAGATTCTTCTCATGTAACATGCATCTAGTCATCTCTAAGATGTATTTGTTTCTCCTTTCACTTACCCCATTCTGTTGTGGAGTATAGGGAGTGGTTAATTGATGCTCAATGCCAATTTCCTCACAAAATTGATTGAAGTTTTCTGAGGTGTACTCCTTGCCATTAGATCTTAGAATCTGAATTTGCTTGTCACTTTGATTTTCTACTGATTTTTTAACTTCCAGAAAGCTCCAGCCACTTCTGATTTGAATTTTAAGAAAAAAATTCAACACGTTCTTGTGAAATCATCAATAAAGGCAACATAATTTCAGTTACCTACTATTGAAGGGGTTCTTTGAGGTCCAGATATATCTGTGTGGACTATCTGCAACTTACGAGTGGCTGCTGACTTCGGAAATGCCTTTCTTTTTTGCTTTCCAAATAGACAAGCCTTGCATGTAGGTAGGTGATCATCAAGATCTGGAAAATTAGTTGCCCTTCTCTTGGACTTCATTTGCAGCGACCCTTGGTGGTGATAATGCCCGTGCCTTTTGTGCCAAACTTCTGTGATGTTTTCCTTGATTGAAAAAGCAATTTTCTTTTCCTCCAATGGATTTAGAGCAAAGCTTGTGCCAAACTTCTGTGATGTTTTCCTTGATTGAAAAAGAAATTTGCTTTTCCTCCAATGGATTTAAAGCAAAGCTTTTCCCGTTCATTTTTACTTTAAAGATGTCCTAACTAGTTACATCTCTAATAAGGCAAAAATTGTCTTCAAAAGTAACTTTAAAACCTCTTTCAATCAATTGGCCAACTCAACAAATTTTGTTGAATTTCAGGTACCAAAAGGACATCAGGAATAAACGTTGTACCTGAGCAGCTTGTTATTGCAACTGTCCCTTTTCCTTTGACTAATATGTTATCACCATTGCCTATTCTGACTTTGGTAATGTTGGTTGGGTTTAATTCTTTAAAAATCTCCCTGTCATTGGTCATATAATTGGTGCAACCACTGTCAATTAGCCAACTCTCATTGTCTACGCTACTTGCAAAACATGTGGCCACAAAAAGTTGATCCATCTCCTCCTTCTGATCAGCAACCTTAGTTTTTTCCTCTTGTTGTTGATTTTTGCTCTTGCATATGACTGCTTCATGACTCATTTGATTGCACCTAATGCATTTAGCATCGGGTCTCCTCCAACATTTGAATGGAGGGTGACCCATTTTGCCCCAATGTTGGCAAGGTGGGTAACTTTTCTTTTCACCCTTTCCTTTGTTGTAATTATTTGCATTACTCTGACTGCTGGTTGGATGATTCCTTTTATAGTTTTTAGCTTGTTGGCTCTTGGCTAGAAGGACACCTTCAATAGCATGATCTTCCCTCATCAATCTTCATTGCTCTTGGGTTTGGAATGCATGTATCACCTCTGCAAAAGTGATTTTAGACAAATCCTTTGTGTTCTCCAACGAAGCAATAGATGCTTGGACCTCTCTGACACCGTTACCATAATTTTTTCAACAATTTTGGAATGTGCAAAATCATTATCCAATAACCTTCTCTTGTTGTCAATACCCAACAATTTGTCACAGTATTCCTCAGTGTTTTAAAACCCGGACCGACCCGGCCGGTCGGACCGGTTGGACCGGGAACCGGTGGTCCAGCCGGTCCGAATCTGAAGTTGGATCGGTTATGCAGTCGACCCGTTTCAAACCGGATTGAACCGGTCAATTTTCCGGTTCAACCGGTGAACCGGTGGGTCAAACCGGTTCAACCACTTTTTTTTTTTTTTTTTTTTTAAATTTTTTTAAGGGACCATAAATCACAAAAATAATAATGAAAATTGAATCTCTTAATGAAAAAGCAAGGAGTCTTATTAAATATAACAATGACTACTTGTTCTAATATATTTGTTTGCAATATATACAACTTAAATAACTTTTATAGTATATTATTAATTTTAAATTATATATTTAATAATTCAATATCTATGTAAATATTACATATATTATTTTGTGATATTAATTGCAAGCATATTATATATGTACATATTATTTATATTTTTAATTTGTATTAATATACCGTTTAACATGTAATTTTTTTATGTATTTTTTTACAAAATAAAAATAAAAATAATTTTAAATAAGATAGAAAAATTTAAATTTAAAATAAGATATGAATTTATTAAAATTTATAAGTATAAATATATTTAATATGAATATTTTTTAATAAAAATCGAGTCATGCAGTTCAACCAGTGACCCACCGGTTCAACCTTTGACCCACTGAACCAATACCTTAACCGATTCGATGACCGGTCCGGTTTTTAAAACTATGGTATTCCTTGATTGCGTCAGATTCTGTCATCCTTTGAAGCTCAAATTCTCTCACTAAGTTAAGCACCTGCATGCTTCGAATTCTTTCGTCCCCGGCACATTCCTCCCTTAAATAATCCCAAATTGCTTTTGCAGATTTGAGAGTCATAATCCTAGTGAAGATGGTTGTAGACACTTTGCTTTTCGGGTTTTTCTTTCCTTGTGATTCTTGATCTAGGCCATTGTGGGATTGTCCGGTAGCAAAAGGATTTCATAATCTTCTTCTACAGCTTCCCAAAGATTCATCACTTCTAGGTAAGTTTCCATTTTTACAGCCCAAAGATTATAGTTTTCCCCATTAAAAACTGGAAGTGCTACATGAGAAAAGCTTGTTTCAGAATCCATTCTAGGTCCCGTAAGGAAATGGACTCTAGATACCAGATGTTATAAATTTTCAAGAGAATAGAAATATAGAATCTGCTGAACGAAGAGCAAAAACTTATATTCAATGAGAAAGATAGAGCTTACAATCTTCAAACCAGAAAGATTACAATTTATAAAGCTTAAACAGTAACTACCCACTAACAATATGGTCCTAGAAATAAGCCACGAACAGAACAGAGATAATAAAAAATTCCTAAAACATTCTAATTGACTCCGTAAAACTAGGATAGCAACTACAAATAAAATAACATAATCAGAATGTGGTTTCAGTCCTGATTCCTGAAGCATTTTCCTAACAATATTCAATACTTAAGTGTTATCTTGAACAAATCTTGGTTAGAGATTATCAAACTTTTATATAAGTGGGGATCATAAAGAGCACATGAAAAGTGAAAAGTGTAAAATGTGTATAATAGTGCGTGAACCAACTTTGGAAAATGGTTTTCATCTCAATACAAGTTGAAGGACATCCATGACATGTCAGTTCACATTTTGTTAAGAGTTTAACAACAACTACAGAGGTAGAAATCTCGTCTGACTTTGTCTTGTTTAGTAACTAATGGCTAAATTGATTTCAATCTGTTTCATGTCTATTTTTTTGTGCAGTGCATATACTTATCTTAAACAGACACTATAATGGCACAAAATATCCACTTGAATAGCATAACTACAAAAACAACTAAGCTTTTGTTCACAATACAGGTACTGGAAACCCGTAGTTCCAGTGATTTTCTCCTTCCAGGAGACAATTATCCTTATTGGTTAGCCTATACAGGGAAAGGATACTCGGTACCTTTTCAAGTGCCTGATGATGGTGATTGTCGCATGAAGGGGATCATTTTGTGTGTTGTTTATTCATCAACCCCTGAAATGGCAACTGAAAATCTCACTAGTGTCTTCATCTTTAATTACACGAAGTGCACCGTTGAGATATACAAGCAAGCAACAACAATGTCCTTTACTGATGAAGATTGGCAGCGAATAATATCAAATCTAGGACCTGGTGACAATGTGGAGATTTTTGTTGCTTTTGGGCATGAAATGATTGTTAAGAAGACAGCTGTTTATCTAATATATGGTCAGCCAATTACAACCAGAATGGAGCCATTGCCTGAAGTGAGTGAGCACCTGTCACCAGATGTGGAAATGGACTCGTCTCTTAATGTCCAAATGGAGCCACCAAAGAAGCCCAAGAAAAATATCTTTACAAAAATTGCTAAGATGAGAGTATGTTTATGCTTGAACTAGAATAAGAGTTTCAAGGATTTTTGCTTGGGCATTCCATCGTCATTGTATTGGATTCAAGTGTTTCATGCCTAATGTGTTATTATAATATTTTTTTCTGGGAGAAAGGAAGGACAATGCATTGTTATATATATATACACATTAAAAAAAATTAATTTAACAATTAAATATAAATTATTGAATGAAATAAATCTAAATATTGTTGATATTTGGAAAAAAAAAATGAAGACTTGTTCTTGAAATGATTGAATTCCTTCTATACGTGTGTGGGATGGAATACGACTCTTATTTTTGAATTCTATTTGTAATAAAAAAAATTGGTAGAATACTACTATTGTTACGAGTACAAGTTCATAGAAATTTATCTATAACTTTACCATCATTCGATAGAAAGGGACAGATAAAACTATCTTTTAGAAAATGTCTTCTTCGATGAATTACATTTTAAGAAATTAGATAAGCTTGACACAACAATATTATTGTGCAAGTTTTGAAAAGGTTGTTGGGTATTATTGCAATTTTATCTATGTGAATTATGAAGTCGAAAAAAATTAAATGGATTCTGAGGGAGATTTTAAGCACATTCTAGTGGGTGTAGTTCAATTTGAATTTAAGGAAAAAGATGGGTATAGGGAGTTAAGGGTTTTAAACGCGAACAGTAATGTACGCACATGCTGTAGTTCAATTTGAATTTAAGGGAAAAAAAAAAAAAAAAAAAAAGATGGGATCAACAGCACACTGTACAAGTTTTATTAATCTAGGACTTGTTTTGGATAATCATTTTCAGAAATGTTTTTTAAAAAAACATGAAAAAAATTAACTAATTTTTTTTATAAACTAAAATTAATTTATGCGTAAACTTATTTTTAATTTTTTAAAAAAGACATGAAAAGACTTTTATAAATTAACTTATGCATAAGTTAATTTTAACTTATAAAAAACATGTTTCTTTTTTCCTTCCTATTTTTTCTCCTTAAAAATACTTTTGAAAAACTTTATCTGAACAGGTCTATAGTATTTGCAAGAGTATATCATGTAAACTTCACTGCATCTGTTACGTGGGTTAGGAAGTCAGTCTCGAGTTCTTGAGAAACAATGGCAACTTTCAGCCATTAAAACTTTCAAAAAGTGGTACGAGTCGGACGCAATTACATCACTGATAACAGCATATTTATTTCTGCATGTGTTACAAAAAAACAGACCTATACCAAATAAATAAAAAATGAAGACCAGAGCCGCTATCCGGAGACATACAAGGTGTAAATTTGAACAAATCACTTGCCTGGTCACATCTCCCATGAAGTTGAAATGAGGCATAAACTAATATGAAAACTAATAGCGGTTCCAGTAGGTTCTGCGTCTGAACCAGTTGTAATCAGGCAAACGCTGAATTGGTCCCATGGCAGCAATTGCAATATCCTGCAAGGGGGAATGCAAGTCAAGTTTTGAAACAAGAGGGCACAAAATTGCCTAGAAAACAATTGGTGTCTCTATCACTAAGATATATGGTTCAAGTTCAACCAATACCTTGTCATAGATAAATCGGTTAGCAACACGTTTTATTGTGCTGGCATCAACGGCATCAATTCTAGCAAATAATTCTGCAAATGGTATTCTTCTGCCGTAGGTGAGTAGCTGAAATGATGACCAGATAAGAAATAAATAAATGAAGTATCTAGGGGCAGCATATTTGGCGTAGGTCAGTATTTTTGGTAAATCTACTCCTATATTATAAATCAGAATCAGAATACAGAATGAGTGACACTCACTCACCCCACTCTCTCAATTAGAAATTGTGAATATTTCCCCTTCCCTCCCTTGGATGTATTTCATACACTACTCCCACAATTCACAAAAAAAATCTCTATCATCTCAAACTACGCTCCTTTTATCTTTATTTGTATACTTGATCTTCTTATTAAATGTTTACTCCTTTCAAACTATCTTTTATCTTTATATATATATATATATATATCTTCTCAAACTACTCTTTCATTAGTTCCTTTCTTTTCTATAAGATCCCCTCCAAATTGTGTCGTGTAAGAATTATTTTTTTTTTATCAAAATATCCTTAATTACTTTACAATTTTTATACAATAAACAATAAAAGTAAATTAACAGTACAATTTTTCTCTCATGTGAAAATTGGAGATGACTGGTCACAAATTAATAAGATAAACTACATATCCACTATTCTCTTTCAACACATTAATTAATTTGATGGAAAGTAGCTAGGTGAAAAAAGTCAAATAATGAGTCTCAATAATTTTAAGGGTAATTTTGAAACAATAACAAATAGTTAACAAATTTAACGTACAGACTAAATTAACCAAATTTCTTAATTCATGTGAATTGTGTTTTTCAAAAACTAAAGTAACAAATCATAGGTGTATTTTGCACTAAACAGGTACATAGTTTCTTACTTGCAGTAAAGTGTTAAATAATTTTATTTTGTCCATTTTTTTTAAGTTATTAAAGATTTTGTACCTGACGCCCAATATCTTCAGCTACTGGACTTGTTCCATCTATGTGGAGCAGGAGTGAAGATTTCAGCTGTAAAAAACACAATTTTAAGTGGCTATTGCACAATAACAGAATACAGAAATAAATTGAGAGGAAAACAACAATTATTTTTCATTAATAAATGAAAAGGATCAATATAACAAACATATCAAACAACAGCAAAATATATGTCCTACAAAGGATTCTAAAAAATATTGATCCAATGGCCCTCTGGACATACCATAATTGGGATAGGTTAAACCTTTAATTATTGGTAGTCAACTACCACCTTTTTCGGGATAAAAGATAATCATCATTCATCACATGTAAACTAAATAAAATGCAGTATAACAATAAAGTACTTACATCAGCATAACCTAACCTAAAATGTAGATAGTGAGCAAATATCAATAAATTAGAAAAACAATTTCAAATATATTTGGGGACAAGAAAACATGAAGCATAAATGGAATCGGAATAAATGCTGTGACCCACTCAACTTATTTAATCATTTTATGCTTTGAAAAGTTTTAATCCAGCGTGCATAATTGCGAAGAAAAAGCAATGTCAAATTGAATTTCCATAATAAATATCACTCAGGTTTTATATTTCCATTTCATACACAGTGAAATATGTCAACCATTTAATTTTATTTGAGCACTAAAAGGTTGTTCAATAGAGTAAAACATGGCATCATAAATAGAGTCAATGACAGAAAAGAATGCCATAACTGATTGCATTTATCTAAATTTTTCACAATTCTAGATCTCTATAAACAATTATATGCCATGCAATGATGCAAAATTTAGGGTGTTTGGGAATCAGTTGAATTCAACTCAATTGGAATCGAAAAAAAGTTACCGTCACAAACTTTTTTTTTTTTGCATTGGAACGTGTGTTATACCGTTGAATGTGGTTTTAAACTAGTATCCAAACATACACTTACTCATAGGATTGTCAATCTATGTTTTTCAATTTTCATGCTGGCTTCCTATCTCTTTCTGACAGAAGATTCCTAGCTAGTTGGACTGTCAGATTGTGAAGATGGTAGAATTTCCAGAATGCCAGCCTTCACAGGCAGTTGGCACCCACGACTTCAATGGATTGAGCAGTGGGGCCTGCAACCCATAACCCCCCAAGTGAATGGTTTTAACCTAAACTGACCTCATCTCTCTCAATCATCTCTCATTCCATCGAGGTTTTATGTTCATTGATTTCCAGACATCACAAATCCCTTACACCTTTGACCTATGCCTCAGTTCTTCATCAATTTTCATTATCGGTGGGAAAGGTTTTCTATTCCACAGTGACATTGTCAGTCTCTCATACCCTCAATACACCTATGTTCTTTGTCAATCTCTGCTCTAATTTGTGAATAAGTAATTGAAATAATTAAAAGAAAATGAAATTTAATTGCCTATGGAAAAAAATTAATTAAAATAAGTATTTGTATTCTAAATTTCAAATTGGATTTTGCAGGAATTGAGTATGTTTTACAATCTAACATTAAGAATTTAATATGAAAGCAGACAGTGTTGTGACCTGAGGAATTAAAGGTGATTAATCAATTTTAATTACAATTAAGTCCTGAAAATAAAATTGAAGCTTTCAATTTCTTCTGATTAAAATAAGCCATTTATTTTAATCTGTTTTGTTTCCAACTCAGACAGAAGCTTGAGAGAGAGCTTTCCTGATTAAAATAAGTTATATATTATTTATTTGATTCAAATTTTGTAAAATCCTTATTGACAGGTACACCTGTAATTTCACACATCATTATTTGACATAATGTAACCTTTATATTTTGGGCTAGAGTACCATGTGGCACACTTGAACTAGATATTTCTTTACGTAGGCTGATGTTATATTTAATTATTTACAGTGATCACTGTAAGTATGACTTATTTTCATCTATTGCCGTGTATGGATTAGATTTTTTTTCCACATGAGATATGTTCTTATTAACAATGTAGCGGGTTGTGAACTTGAAAAATTTACTCTCATTTTCATAAATAAATTAATAAATTGTTTTCAAATTAAAACTAAATCCCTGGTATGTTGTAGAGTTGACTAGTAGCAATAGTGGGTTGTACAACTGTTGCGAAGTGAATGTTTTGAATTTGGTCTTTGCTATGTGACAGAATTCTTAACTTGTAACTATGTGTTGATAATCTAACAGACGGGTCCTCTTCTACTGGGAGATAGTTTTATGTGTACTAAACTAATCAAGTGCCAATTATCTAACATATCTTTCATGCAGAAGCCAAAATCTATTTTTTACATTGAATTAGCAGGGAAGACAAGTGTGTAAAATAGGAGCAATGGTACACACCTGATTACGAGCTCGGGTAACATCATCTTCTGAAACCCGATAAGCTAACTTGGTTGTCTCGTGCATTATTGCATAGGATAAGTCATCCAAGGAATCTTTCTGAAGAACAAATTTCAATGTATTTTCATTAAAGACAATTTTAAATATAGGAAAGGGGGAAAAAGCAACAAAGAATCTTCTAGAGGCAGAGAATGTATAAGACAATTTATTTTGGATACAACTTATGCATAATGTTCTCTCAAAAAACAAAAGATTCATACAATGCCTACAATTAAGTAATTTACATTGCATAGAATTAAGATTAACATGGCCACAGCATTCTAGATTCTACTTGGTTAATATATACAAAATTTCTTAAAAGAAGAAAATATAGACAGCATTCTAGATCCTACTAGGTTAATATATAAAAAATTTAATTTGATTTAGTAGTTAGGTGAAAATTGCAGGAAGAAAGTAAGGAGAAGAAATTGGGGGAAAATGAGGTTTTGTCCTGTTTGTGAAGGAAGATAAATTTCAGGGAAATTGACATGAGAACTGTTTCTGTCCAGATAAAATCTTTATGATTATAAAACGAAACTAAAAAGCCATTGGAAGCATAATAGCAAAGAAAAGTAGAAAAATCAGATGAGAATTATGAGAAACATCCAAGAGGGCTAAAAGTTCATGTGATTGGCAGATACTTGGTGTCTTGTATTCTAGTCTACAAGGTGACTCACCTTAGCAACAGCATAAACACCGAAAAGACCTGTATCCTTGTAATTGGTATTGAAGGCCATCATGCTTTCTGCAACTTCATTAATGCCAACTCGTTGTGCCAACTCAGAACTGTTCACAATAAAATTTTACTCCATTATGTGATTATGAAGAGGCAAAGCAGCTAGTTTTTTCTATCTATTTTTTTTGTGGTTGGGGGGGGGGGGGCTCAAGTTTTGTCCCCCATGTGTTTTCCACCTCCAGCAGACTTGTTCCAAGAACCCAACATAGCTTGCATGACCATCAGAGCAATGGAATCAGGATCTGTCCAAGCAGCACCTTCAAAAGCTACAGCAAATTGTGCAAGGGGAATATCATCATCCAAAATTCTAACCTGTTTTTGTAGCACAGTAAAATAGTCATTAAATTTTACTACCAAAAAAGACAGTTTTATATGCACTCAGCATGTATATTCTAATAATCTTGCCTCAGAACCAGTGAAAATGGCTGGTTCTTTTGCAACTAACTGAGAAGCTGTGGTGGGAACTATTGACAACTTTGTAAACAATGTTTTTACTTGCTCAACAATATCTTCATGCTTGACAGCTCCAGATGCAGCAACTACCTGAGAAAGCAGGCCCAAATAAAACAGCCATAAGGCCTTTTGTCATAATTAAGTATTAAAAGATACTCTGTATGAAATATATTACAAAATAACCATGTCCTAAGAATACTATCAGATGCATTACTAACATGATATATACAAACAGGACCTCAATAATTTTTTGCATACCATCCTAGGAGCTGTGTAGTGTGTCTGAATGTAGTTTTGCAGATGATCTTTAGTGATTGTCTTAATATTCTGTGTCGGTCCAAGAATTGTTCTACCAAGTGGGGTGTACTGGAAAGCAGTTGCATGTAAATGGTCAAAAATTACTTCTTCCATTTGTCCCTCAACCTACAAGCAGTTGCAAATCATAAACCAATTAGAATGGGAATGCTACTATGTTAGCCTGTCATAAACCAATTCAGGAGAAAACAGGTAGCTACAAAGGAATAAAAATAAAACAGTGATTTAACACAGGAATGTGCTCAACATGCATGCTTGCACACACAGAAACATATATATACATATACCATTTAAGAATTTTTTTAAGTCATCATATAGACTCAAATACAAAAAGTGAGACTCGTATGGTTCTACAGTTGGTGATGTGAGGATCTGCTGAATTAGTGGCTATCTTGCAAGTTAGGATGTAAACAAACAAAATCACAACCCAAATCTAAATCAAAACCAAATCTCATACAACTGTACTTCCACCAATTACTGCTCAGCTACTTCGCTAGAGATAAGAAATTGGGCCCCTTTTCATCAATCATTCTCTATAGTAGAAGAAAAATAAGATACAGAATTACAGACATGGAAACCATTTTGGTGTATTATAGATGTAAATGCATATATATGAACGCAGAACAAATGTGCAGTAGTTTCACATAGCAACTTACTCAAGTTTAAACACTCAACAACATTTTAATGGTAACATACAGTACACAATGTACAACCCTTTATAATGCAAAAGACAATAAAAACTGTCTTCTAATCCTAACAAGACCAGGTTTTGAATTATCCAGGAAAAACAGAACTAGGCAGTAATCAAGCGTTGGAAATCAGACTCTTTAGCCACAAGAAATAGACATCATTTCCTCAAAATATTGGAAACATAAATCATTTCTAATCCCATGATGTTTGATCGAAATTCTTCCAAAAAGACCAAACCCAATACCCATCGTTACATAACATGAAAAAATGAAAAATCATAAAAAGAATAAAAGTTTCAATTCAATATCAAATTCCATTGTTCATTAGCTTCTGCATTTCCCATCACTCGAAGCAATAAAATGCCTCAATACCCAAACGCACCAAAAAATAATACCTTTAAAAATATCATAAAATGGAGAAACCTTCTCAAAAAAAAATTAAAAGAAAAAAAATCTTTCTATTCAAATACCAATTGCACCATTACCTCTTCCATTTCCCATAATTCAAATCAAGAAAACACACCCAATCCCAGCGAAAATCAACACCTCCAACATTACCACAAAATAGAAAGAAAGAAAAAAAAAAAAAAAAAAGCCACAAAACCATTTAAAAGATATATATATATATATATATATATGCAATTCAAATCCTCATTGCTCCATTAACTCTTCCATTTCCCATAATTCAGAGCAAGAAGAAAACGCCCAATCGCAAATAACACCTACATGATGAACACAAAATGGAAAGAGAAAAAAAAAAAAACATTTTAAAAAAACGAGCAATTTAAATCTACATTGCTCCCTTGTGTTTTCCATTTCCCATAAAAAACATCGTAGCCAATGACCATTCGCTACAAAAAATCAACATCTTCAAAAATAACACAATAAAAAAGGAAGAAGAATGACAACAAGCATTACCTCCTCCATTTCCCTAAGAATGACATCACGCTCGCGGCTAATCCTATTCTCATCAAACTTGGAATTCTGCAATATATCAGCCAAAATATCGAGCGCCTTGGGAACATCCTTGTCCGTAACCTTAGCGTAATACGTTGTCTGCTCCCTTGACGTGTACGCGTTCAGGTGCCCTCCCATGTTCTCGATCTCTTCCTCGAGCTCCCTCACGGTCCGCTTCGCCGTCCCCTTGAAGATCATGTGCTCCAGGAAGTGCGCGGTGCCGTTCGTCTCCTCCGTCTCGAACCGCGACCCGGCGTCGATCCACACGCCCACGGTCGCGGTTTTCGAGGCCAGGGAGGACTCCGTCGCCACGCGGAGGCCGTTGGGGAGAGTCGTCACCCGGGTCTCGGGCGCGCCCAGGACCCGCGTGTGGTCCACCAGCGTGGGAACCGGGGACCCGTGCTTGAGGAAGCGTGAGTCCGGGTTCTCGAGCCGGCGGAGCTTGGTCTTGACGGCCTCAGCCAGGCGGTCGTAGACCATGGCGTCGGGCGGCGGCGGGGAGGGGCGGGGGGAGGGCTTAGATGCCGCTGGGGCGGTGGAGAAGGGCCGGAGGGCGGGGGG